GCTCTTGCACTTTCGGGGGGATTTTAACATCCCCCCGAATTTTTTTTAACTTTTTTTATTTTTGTGCACACGTGGGGACTGGCCCATGTGTACACAAACCTCCCCCAGCCCCCCAGCTGCCCCCTCCGTGCTAATTTAAGTATCCGCACGGAGGGGGCAAGTTGGGAATTAGATATATAGATACTAAAACAAATGACAGCAAGTGGGTGATGATAGACCTCTTGGTCCAATTCACATGAAACTTGGGGGTTATTTAGTGGACAGGCACCAGCAGCTTCACTCCAACTTTGGTGCCATTTGCTTAAAGAAACAGCCACTCCAGCACCCCCATAAAGATTTCCCATAGGGAATAATGGAGCCAAATAATATTGGGATCCTGAAAAGAACCCCTCAAATAATATTGGAATCCAAACAAACAAACAAACAAACAAACAAAAAACCTGGATCCAAATACCAAACTGGTCTTTGGGAACTGAATAACCAGGAATACTGATATTTTGGGCTCCCTAATATTCAGATCCAAAAATTACTGATCTTTTTTTATGGTGCACATCCCTATTTTGGATCCAGCCAGATTTCCCCCCCCCCTATATCATGTCCAATTCACTTCCTTATTACAGCTCCCACCCCATATGGCTTTTGTCCATGCAGCTGCATGGATGGGCTTTGTGGTTGTCAAAGAGGATCTCCTCCACCCTTTCCCATCAGCAGAAAAGCCAGCTGGGCTCAGTCCCAAGTCTTTTACTACTCTAAAAAAGAGCTAGAGCACTGATTATCTCCCTTCAGATGCATATTCATTCATAATGTCAGGAGGTCAATGCATAATGGATTATGCGCAGAAAAGATGGGTTTTATACTATAAATCAAAAAGATGGATGCAGTAGCATTAGAAACCTATGCTAGACCGATTCCCTTGGCCGATTATTTCCATGCTAATTTAGTTGTAAATAAATGTCCTATAGTCTATATTCCCCAGAAAGCAACAATATTTGTAAAATGAACTTATATGCAAAAGACAAACCAAAACATTACATTTATCAAGTCATATAGGTAATGCACATCTGGAAAAAGTACATCTGCATATTTCCACACAGGGACTTTGTATTTTCTTTCTTTTTCCTATAAGATGCTTTGGGTCCCCATTGGGAAGGAAAGTAGGACACAAATAATTAATTAAATGAATAAATTTGGCAATCAAACTCTGCACTAATAATTCTTCCCAAATCGGAGTATTTCAATGGTGAAGTTACTGCTGGAGCAAACTCTTACCATTTGAAAGCCTAGCAGTTGACACACCCCTGCAATGTTATACATTATCAAATGATAGTGAGAACATAATTTCTATCTGTACAATAGACACTTATATAAACAATTCACAGCTGATCATGTTGCTGTAAGGCTCTGTCGAAACAAATAATTGTTGAGTTTGTAGACCTTCCTACAATGAAATACTATTTGTGAAACTTTTCCCCAGAAAAAATTACTTGTGACATCCAAAATGTTTTATTTTGCCCCCAAATATCTGATCTGTACAGTTCCACAGATATGCCTCACTGCCTGCTGAACACTATGTTTGTTTGTTTATTTGAGTTCAGCATTCTCTGCATAATTTTATTTACATATTACAATGGACAAAGTCACAGTTCCTCCTACATGACATAGAACTATGCAGGTACAGGGGGAATGCACTATGACAAAGTGCTCCAACCCTTGCAGAGATTCCAAGCACTGCAAGGGTGGAGGAGGGGCTTCAGGGTTCCCTTCTGAGTCATTTTTGCAAACAAAAACAGCTCCTCCTGTGGCTGTTTCCACTTGCAAAAATGGCACAGAAGGGAACCCTGAAGCTCCCCCTTCTCTCTCGCAGCATCTGGAGCCTCTCCAATGGTTGAGCACTTTGTAATGGAGAGCCCCTAGGCATGCACAGTTGTGAGTTGCATAGATATGACTCCTGTCTGTTGTAAAGTATAGATAAGCCCACACTATTGCTTCTCCAGATAATGACAGAGGACCCTTATTTAATGCTATACACACCAGCCATAGAACAGCATAATTAGTGCAATGTCCCATCTCAGCAAACAAATTAATTGAGACAGCAGTAGTGCTGTAGAGAACAGCCATATCTATGCTTGCTGATTTTTGGAAAAAAAAATAATTCAGTGCAGGACTAGACAGGGAATATGACCAGACTAAATTTCCGGGAAGTCAGGGAGAGAGAAAATTTACGAAGTGGTGGAGGATGTTGAGCTACCATACATCCCTGCTCATCTGAATTAGGTCCGTTAACAAATGTTTTCTCACCATTCTTTCTCCTTTCCAAATGCAACTGGCTTCTCCTAAGGTGCACTTTGACTCTGACCGCTTTTTCAACCTCTAGAACAGCCTTCTGCTCCTTCTCATTGTCTTCTTGCAGACCGTGTAAAACATTTTTTAATACAGGGCATTTGATTAAAAACATGGATTCTGTTATTTCAAAGGTAGGTTGTTCTGAAGTAGGGTTGCCAACATCCAGGCGGGGTCTGGAGAGCCCCCAGAATTACAACTGGTTTCCAGACTGCATAGATAGCTTATTTATTTATTTATTTACTTATTTTAAACATGTATTCCTCTTCTCCCAGAGAAAATGGCTGCTTTGGAAGGTGGACTGTATGGCATTATACCCAGGCTCCACCCTCAAATCTCCAGGTATTTCTAAACCCAGAGATGGCAACCCGATTCTGAAGGGGCATGTCATTGGAAAGAACTTTGATATATTTTTTTAAAAGTTGTGTTGTTTTCGTTTTTTGTTAAAAATGGGGTTTTTTGTAAGTTACTTTGAACTGCAAGGATATACATTTTTGAATGAACGGTTAAAGTCTGTGGTGGGGTTGCCTTGCATGAGTTTTGTTACTTTGGCCCAAGTGTTCTGGCTTGAGTGGTACAGCCTCTAAAGGATTTAAAACAGAAACAAACAAACAAACAGAACTTCTTAAGTCAAAAAATGGCCTTGATGGTGGGGAAGTAGAATTTTGTCACTCACCATCCCATTCATTTGCTAAATATATTTTTACCTACGTCTTCCTCTAAGGAATCCAGGGCAGCACACATAGGGCTCCCCTGCTCCCTTGTTAGCCTCACAATAATCCTGGCTTCATCCACACATCCTTGGATCATCACATGTCTGCTACTGGATTTCCCTATGTGGACAAGCCAGTCCTGTTGTGAATGATACTCATGACAGTTCAGGATGTCTATTTGTATCAAAACTACTAAAAAGAAAACCAAACCAGAAAAATCACATTTGTTAGGGTAATAAAAATGAATTAAAATAATAAATGGATTTTTTTTCTCCATGTTTAGTCTTAATTACCTATAAAGCTGGGTCCCCTACTTCTATGGTAATTTTTCATACAGGATCCACCCATTCAAATTGGGTGGAAAATGAAGAAGTTAAGCCGGGAAATAGTTCCCATTCAAACCAGGGTAAACCAAAGGGAATGTGATAACGAAAACCGAGCCATGCAAAAATGAATAAACGAACAAGACTACATGGCTTAAGGAACAAATGCAACCCCTCCCCCCAAATGATGCTAAAAATGAAAACAAAAACAATATTGAATACTTTTGGTAATGGCTGGACCAATACATAGCATCAAGGACCTAAAAAGGTAAGCCAAACTGAGTAAAGGGCCAACAATTAAAACTTTATATATATAATATGTAAAAATACATGTATTTATTTGTAAAAAAATAAAAATATATATAGGGGCCCAATTTGTTGTTGTTCAGTCGCAAAGTCGAGTCCGACTCTTCGCGGCCCCATGGACCAGATCATGCCAGGCCTTCCTGTCTTCCGCCGTCCTCTGAAGTTTGCTCAATTTCATGTTCGTTGCATCTATGACACTGTCTAACCACCTCATCCTTTGCTATCCCCGTCTTCTTTGACCATCAATCTTTCCCAGCATCAGGGTCTTCTCCAGTGAGTGCTCCCTTCTCATTTAGTAGCCAAAGTATTTGAGCTTCAGTTTCATTATCTGGCCTTCCAGGGAACAGTCAGGGTTGATTTCTTTTAAGATTGACTGATTTGATCTTCTTGCAGACCAAGGGACTCTCAAGAGTCTTCTCCAGCACCATAGTTCAAAAGAATCTATTCTTCGGTGCTCGGGCTATGCCGTGGATGGGCCCAATTACACCTCATATAAAAATTCTTCAGAGGTCAAACACAATGAGGAGCAAATTAGCTTATACCATAATATGTAATACAATACAATTATACAGCATGGATACAAAATGGACCAGAAAATAATTGTTCCAAAGTGAAATTGCTAGGCATAGGATAAAAGTATAAATGAGGCCTCCCAAGACCCAATGATATGCCAAATGATAGTTCACTGATAATAATTTCTGGTCCAGAAAGTGCTTTTCAAGAATTGTTTAGTCCAAGCCAAAGTGTCCTCAGAAAGATTGTCCCTTTAGCAAAGAGCAGCCAATACACAGCATACAGTTGTTTGGATCCAGTAGTAATTTCTGCTGACAGAAGAGATACCTGTCAGTGGAAAAGGACGTTCCTGACCTCCCAGTTCCATTGGAGCCCCAATGCTCCTCCAAATACTGCTGTTGGGGACGGGAGACCCTAAGGAATAGCTAATTGGGGGTTTGCAGTGGAAGGGGGCAATTGGTAAAAATCACCCCCTCCTTCCATTAGCAGAAATCTGGGTTGCTGGATCCAACTCAGTGATAAACACACTTGGTGAGGACATTAATCACATTTTTGTAATGACAGAACTATGTAGTTAGAATACAAGGAAAATACAATATCAGGAATAACAGCGGGAAAACAACCTTGTGAAGAAAGAAACTATAAAAGAAAAGAAACTATTTCTCTGTAATAAAACAGCAAAAATTGTTCATCACATGGTATGACAAAAGTCCTCTAGAAATGTCCTGGTTTTTCGAGCGATAGTATTAGATAGGATCCCAAAACGTTACTTCTACTGAGATAGAAAGGAGGAGGAGGGAATTACCTTTACGTAAAGTTGCTGAAACTCGTCCAGGTTCAGTCTCCCACTGGGACAGTCCTTTAGAAATCCTTTGTACCACTGTTTGAGTTCGTGTTCGTTAAACTCTGTGCTCTTCACGAGGTCCTCCATCACTTCAGGAGCCAGTTTGCTATTCTGCTTCCCCATTATGCCTACGGAGAACAAATGAATATGAGTGCCCACCTTTCTGCCCTTTGGGATGCTTACTGTGGTTCACAATAAATATTGGGGATTTTTAATGGAATGAAACTAGGCTAGAGTATGCTGGAAACCTGAATCACTCAGAACATATTTGGTATGATAGAGAAATATCTGACACCAACACCTTTCTGTTGTTTGGGCAGACAGCCAGTGCAGCTTATAAGTGGATACTATGCCACTGCTTGGGACCTACACTGTGGTGCCAGCTCCAAGCTACGTACCTTGTCTAGAGCAACTGCAAAATCAATGTACAAATACACCCCACCACCACTATATTAAGGTAGCTTTTCTTATTTTTCTCAAAATTGTGATTATTTCCCCTCTGTCAAACCACTGACATGTAATTTTTCTTTCTTTTTTTTCATATGTGAGCACTGTTGTTTCTTCCAATGTCATTACTAGTGTTCTAAAGTAGTTTATTTTCTTTTATTTTCTTTCTTCCTTTCTTTTTTCAGACTTTATACAGCATTTATTGAAACACTTGCACCCTGCTTTGTGATACACAATTTGCATGCAACCAATGCAAAAGCCAACATAGATTTTAATATAAATAATCTGAATTTTATTAGTATTGGGCGAAACAGCAACTGTAGATTTATCCTGACAGGGGAGAACCCATGTTAAAAAGTGGGATTTTCGAACTGGGGGGGGGGATTCAATGAAATCCATCTTCCAGGTTCCTGCATTCCACATGGTCTAGCCAGATTAAAAAAGGTAAAGGTAAAGATTCCCTTGCTCGAAAGCCAGTCGAGTCCGACTGTAGGGTTGCGGTGCTCATCTCCGTTTCAAAGCCGAAGAGCCAGCGCTGTCCGAAGACGTTTCCGTTGTCATGTGGCCTGCATGATTAAACACCAAGGCGCACGGCACGCTGTTACCTTCCCACCGAAGTGCTACCTATTTATCTACTTGCAATTTCTCACTTTCGAACTGCTAGGTTGGCAGGAGCTGGAACTAGAGACGGGAGCTCACTCCGTCATGCGGCACTTGGGGCTTGAACTGCTGAACTACCAACCTTCCACAGCCGGCAGTTCAACGTCTTAACCCCTTGAGCCACCGCAGCTCCTAGCCAGATTATAACTCCTTTAATGCATTAGATCAGCCAACAATATCTATTTTTATATTGTACCATTGCTAATTTATCTGATGTTCTCATATAACACTCACTGCATATACAGAAAATGCAGTAGTCCAGGACATTTATTCCTTTGCATTTGTTGGTTGTGTTGCTTGCCCTTCACTGCTAATACTGAGAAGTCCCTGACAAGCCACTGAGAAATCTCTCCCAGGAAAACCTCTGTATCCCTGAATCACAGTTTGAAAATAATTTCATTATGCTTTTTATTTCTATCCAAGCCATTTCAAAACTAATTTCAAAGCGCCCTAACCTGGGTAGCCCAGGCTAGCCTGGTCTCATCACTTCTCGGAAGCGAAGCAGAGTCAGCCCTCATTAGTACTTGGATGGGAGACCACCAAGGAGGTCCGGCCATAGGGCAGGCAATGGCGACCCACCTCTGTTCATCTCACGCCTTCAGATCCCTATGGAGTCAAGTCAACTGCGACTTGATGGCACTTTTCACCACCACCACTTTCAAAGCTGCTTTCTTTCAAATGTGCTGACTTCTCCATTCCTAAATTGGGTTGTCTTAATCACAGTGAACAGAGGTCAAGGACTCTGCAAAAAGAATGGTTTCGTGATGGCTAGAAATCTCTCTCCACAGCCCCTGGAATGTTACACCGATCAGGGCTATTTTGGGGCAGGAACGCACAGGAATGGAGTTCCGGCTGGCTCCCGAGTTGGCCACGCCCAGCAGGAACATTAGCATAATAGGCCACACCTAATAGCAGAGACTCATTAGGATTGGCTACATTAGGGGTGTGTGGCCTAACATGCAAAGGAGTTCCTGCTACAAAAAAAGGCCCTGGGTTTTGACAACAAACAAGGTAAACAGAATAACAAGCAAAAGGTGGGTGTGGCTGGATAACCACACTTCTGGTAACATGTGGGTGCGGCCTAATGTGCTAATGAGCTGTGCTGTCAGGGGTGTGGCCCAATATGCTAATGAGTTCCTGCTGTTGGGTGTGGCCTATTATGCTAATGCTACAGGAAGAGGCACATAAACTGTTTTTGTTGCACTTTGAATTTGAAAAGGGGAGATGTTTTAACTCCATTTGATTAAGTAGGAGGCAACATAGGGGCCTGTAGATGTTTTCTTGGAGAACCTGATGCAGGATTAGCATTATATTTCCTCTTTTTAAGACTCTGCTGAATAATAAAAGGCTCTGCACGTGTATTTGTAAATGGACAGATTCCAAAGACCCTGGTACTCTATTATCCAAGGGTAATTTAAACCCCAAGGATTTCCCATCAACGTCTCATTGCGGAGGGCTACGGGGATTGCTTAACAATATGTTGAGGAAATAGTGAGAAAAGGAGGAATTCAATACTGTATATAAGATCAGCAAGAATATCTCTGAAATATCCATTGATCTGCTTTATGTTGAAACTCTGGTGAAGCAGAGTCATAATGGGGGGGAAACATGGCCCTGCATGTAATCCAGCATCCAGTTTCACACAGTAGCCTACCGGGTACTCTGGAGGGCCAACTACAGGACATAAAGGCCAAGGGCTTCCCCTGACGTTTCCTCCTGGCACTGGTATTTAGAGGTTTTCTGCCTCTGAATGTGGAAGTTCCCTTTAGTCTCCATGGCTAGTAGCCATTGATGGATCTATACTCCCATGAATCTGTCTGACCTCCTTTTAAAGTCATCAGCACTCATGGCCATCACTTTCTCCACCAACAGTGAATTCCACAATTTAATTATTTGTTGAGGGAAGAAGTAATGTACTTCTGTCCTTTCTGAATCTATTACCCATCAACTTCATTGAGCGCCCCATGTTCTAGTGCTGTGAGAGAGGGATGAAAGTTCTCTCTTAGAGATGTGAAGGCCCGGAAAAAAAACAGAAAAATTTGGGAAAAAACGGGTTTTTTCCATTTTTTTCCTGAAGCCTTTTTGGTTTTTTCTGAAAAATTGAAAAAAGAAATATATATATATATGGTATCAGATTGATCTAATTTCTGTGCACCGAGGACAAGCAAGTCCTAGGTTACAAACTGAACTCTCCAATGCAAGAACAAGATGCATTTCTTCCTTTAGGAGGAGGTGAACTACTCAGTGGCTTGCTGTGACCATTTGTCTCAACACTTTGCAGATAAAATCTCTCACATCCATGCAGACTTGGGCTCCATGTTAGCAGTGGTAGGATCAGATCATTCCAGGGTGCCAAGTGCCAACCTGTCCAGCTGAACATACTGTGGTGCGTCCACTACTAATGAAGCCTACCGTGGACCCAGGAGATTTCAATAACTATTGACCAGTCTCACATGTACCATTTCTTGACAAGTTCAAGAATTCCTGGATGCAGCAGATAGTTTGGATCCTTTCCAATCTGATTTCTGATCTGGTTATATGACTGAAACAGCTTTGTTGTCCTGGTTCATGAACTGTGCCAGGAGAGGGACAGAGGGAATGTGACTTTATTGACTCTCCTGGACCTCTCAGCAGCTATTGATACCATCAGTCATGGTATCCTTTCTAGACCACCTTTCTGAGCTGGGACTAGGTTTGCCAGGTCTCGGTTGGAAAATACCTGGAGACTTTGGGGGTGGATCCAGGAGAGGGTGGGGTTTGGGAAGGGGAGGGGCCTCAGCATGGTACAATGCCATAAAGTCCGCCCTTCAAAGCAGCCATTTTCTCCAGGGGAGCGGATCTCTGACAGCTGGAGATCAGTTGTAAAAGCAGGGGGTCCCCAGGCCCCAGCTGGAGGCTGGCAACCCTGGCTGGGACTAGGAGGCACCATTTTGCAGTTGTTCCACTCCTATTTGGAGGGTAGGTTGCAGGTGATGCTGGAGGATTGCTGCTGAGCCCCTTGGCCTTTGGGGTCCCACCTTATATCTTATGCTTTTCAACCTGTACATGAAACCATTGGGTGAGGTCGACGGGAGATCCGGGCTGAATTGTCAATGATATATGCAGATGACACTCAGCTCTATCTCACACCTCTGGCTAATCCCATGGAGGCTGTAAAAACCCTGAACCAGTGTCTGAAGGCAGTTTTGGAGTGGATGCATGCTAATACACTGAACTTCAGTCCCCACAAGACAGAAGGCATACATTGTGAAGGCATAGCCCACTTTGAAAATGATTTTTTGAATTGAATACGTTGAGACTGTTTTTCAGTGATATCCTTCAAGTTATTGGTTCCAACTTGATAAAGCCATATTGGTGAAATGCGGAGCATATTGGGGAAGCCAGCAATCCCATAGTTGGTTTTTTTGGAACCATTCAACTGTTCCTCTTTTGGAACTGTTGGAGTAGATATCTTCTGGAAGCTTGTTTTCCCCCTTTACACTGTGAAGCATATTGCTCATTAGGAGGGACTGAGCCCTTTGGAGTGTTTCGGACTTCGTGAGCCATATACAGGACTTATGTTAAATCATTTATGCCCTGATTACGAAGTGTGTATTGTATGAATAATTTTGCTTAAGATTTGGAAATTGTCTAAATGGTTTATTTGTCTGTAAATGAATTATCTGATTATTATTATTATTATTTATCTTTGAAAGTGCTATTGACACCATGCTCAGTTAATTTCTTCGTGTTCACATATATACTGTGTGTTTCACTACTATATTGGATTTCTTGCCCCATAAAAGCATACAGCTGTCATGGGCCTGCCAGCCGCCACCTCCTCCTCCGTGGAGGAATCAGAAGAATCGGGCCTCACACCAATGGAATCCCCACCTAAACAGCTCCAGCAGCAGACCCAACGGGGGAAGCATCCGGAAGCGAGAACGCTTCCCAGTCATGGCTGAGCTGCTTGTTCTTCCAGGAGAAGAAAGAGAGGCCACAGCCAGCCTCTCCTGAGTCAGCAAAGCCCAGGAGGAGGAGA